CATTGGTTATCCCTTAACAACCTGCGTAGATGCTGGAGTTATTGCTTCATGATTCTGGACAGCAAGGCTAGCATTCATAACTTCCTGACCTTTATATGCATACAGGTCTAAGTAGTAGTGATTGATCTAGGGAAAAAAAGATTGGAAGAGGACTATCTCCTTACTTTGTTAATGTTCCTTGGGTATAAATTCTTCCAGCTATAAATTGCTACTTTTGGTCTTCTTTTGGTCTGTTCTAACTGATCAAACGTACTCAACCTATTTCTTTCATGTGCTAACTTTTGGGTTCAGTCTATGTTCATTCAGCACCCATTCTTCTTGACTTTGTCTCTTCTGCTTATACAAGCACACTGGCTGGCAGTTGAATGCCACAATCCCAAACCTTTAATCTCTACCCACACTGACACCAAACAGTGCCAGTTTGATTGGAGCAACACAAAAATCATCAGCCATACTACCATCCACCATGCTCGTGAATTCATCGAAGCTGGGCACTTCACAAGCAATTCCATCCAGAGACAACCAGAGACAGCACCAACTCTCAAATAACCCCCGCAACCCCCACACCAGCACTTCACTTCCCAATGACTCTGATCTGATGTAATCTTCTTATCACAAGATCCATCGCAACTCACTGATGACTCACAACTGACCCATCACAAGACCTTCACTTGACACATCCACCCCTGAAGCCCCATTGACTCTGACATCCCCTAAACTCCGCTGAAGATGTTACCTAGTCCAATAATGAAATGTTCAAAAACCAACCCACAAACTCGGAGAACGAACCTTCATCCTCATCCTACACCTGAGCTATAGATATTCACCACTATTACAAACATATTTCTTACATAGCGATTTAAGCTTACTTTAAGATTTCTATCAATGTAACTACCTTCACTTCCATATAACATAGTGAGCAGAAGCATAGTCTTCCTATATGCAGCCATTTTTTTTACAAACATAGTTTCTTTATAAAATAGGGTATTCTTATTACCTTCATACCAGCATTTTCACATATTTGTCCATTTTGCCAATTTGAGAAGTGTTCTACCAAGATACACAGATTAATAAACTTGGTTTTTAGGGGTTCTTTTCCCATTTATGCAGAACTAACAAGTGTTAATACTATTTTCTCCATAAAACACAATTACAGAACCTTTGATATACTCTTTGAAGCTCTGAAGAAGCTTCTTGGATGAGAAGAGAAATGTCTTCAAAGAAAAACCAGAAAGACCAGTTGCCTCTTGAAAAAGCACCTTTGGGACTTTAATCTAAATACAACAATGGTAATCATAGTTATTAATGATTAAAAGTTAGTACAACTCTGCTTTTAAACAGTAGATGGAAGCTGACCATGCAAAATCATATAGTCCAGTTCTTCCTTGGCAGAAAAACAGCCAGTTCAAAGGATGAGAGTTAGTACATTTCATCAAGCAGCCTTTTTCTTCGTGTATAGAAGTGTCTTTCTAGGAACACATGACCATCTTTTGGCCAACATTTAAAGTATGGTAAATCCAAAATTTCTGATAGAAAGACAAGTTCCAAGTTTTGGGAATATAATTTAGTAACACATCAACATTTTTAATATTAACCAATTCACCATTGTTAAAAATACCCAATCAATAAGAAGCAAGAGGGCATGATCAAAACATTACTAATGTACCATCAATGTTTATCTCTGTGCATCTCCAACATAAAAGTTATACATCCAACCTTTGAAAATACCTGTTGAACAGTCCTAAAGACTTGATATATTTTTATTAAGCAACTTTATTTTAAGATCATAAGAAATGCATTTCACATGTTTTGAAACTTGAGAGGATTGATTTTGTAAAAAGGAAATTCCAATTCTCTATTCCAAATTTGTTGTATATTATTCATACTTATTTTAGTAAAGTGTTTTAACTGGCAATAAAGCTGGATTGCTGGTTTAGCCTCTAAAATTTTCTTTAATACACTCAAAATCAGAAAGGTTTTCAAAGCATCCAGTGTATCTGGTCCAAAAAACATAAAAATACGTCAAGTGAAGGTTCTACTATTCAACTTCTTTGGCATATTGTATTCTCTTTGTAACCTTTCAGCATCTTTAAAAATATTGTTGATTAATATCTGATTAAGGATAAAAATGCTATTTTCATCCCTTGCTTTCTAAACAAAAGCTTTACCCATCAATTTTAAATAAGGATATTTCGTAAATTTCTTCTGAGATCTAGAGATAAATTTAAGTTTTCTTATTCAATATCATCAAATAAGTCTAATTAAACTTTCAGTATCTGGAAATTTACCTTCAAAGAATAAATAATTTTTTTTTAGGGAAAGCTCAGAGTGACCTTGGAAAGGCTGTCACTTTATAAAAGCTTTGAACTCTTTTTCTTCTTTTTTTGGTGGCAGTGTTTACCTCACTCTGTTTTGGAAGTTGTGACTCCTTTCTGTTTATTTTTTCTTTTTTTCTTTGTTATATTGTTTAATTGAATTGTACTGCGGGTCGCTAAAAATTTACACACTTTTTTCTTTTTTTCCTTTTTCCTTTTTCCTTTTTCTTTTTCCTTTTCATAATTTTTGCATCTTCATATTTCTATATTTTTATTTGGAGACTGTTTCTTTTTTACCTTTTTGCTCCCTATTTTTTTCTTCCTTTCCCTTTTTTAATTAGAATCAACTGGACAAGGGCATACAAGAAATTAAATATTTTTACCTTTTTGGTTTTTTATATTATTGTATATTTCTCCTTTTTCTTCTTTTGGCTTTTTCTGTTGCCCCTTAACTCCTGTTTATTGTTTTATTTTTTATCTTTTGACCTCCCCATGGTCACTTGGGATTATAATCCCACCACACTAAGCAGATTGAAACACAAAAAAGGAGATAAGTAAAAAAAATAACAACTGTTGGCTCCGCAACAACAACCCCCTCCTCTTCACCTGCTGGAGGACAAAGATCAATACAGATGATGCTTCAACAGGAAAAAGACAAGGGAGTAACATTAGAGATAATTATGCAAGGAATACAAAGATTACAAGTAAGAGCAGAGAACATTGAAAAGAGACAGAAACCATTGAAAAAAGAACAGAGAACATGGAAAAGAGAATTGATACGATAGAACAATGAACAAAAAATATAGAACAAAAGACAGGTAAAACAAAAGAAAAAATTGAAATTATTCAACAATGGATGATGAAATATGAGGACAGACTACAAAAAATTGAAGAAAAAGATGAACAAAGGGAGAAGAAAATTGAGGACATTGACACTAGATTGAGTACGGTGGAAAAAAATAACAGCGGAATATTGGGATGGGAAATGGATCGGTCAGAATTTTTCTTAAGATTCCAAAATATAGAAGAAAAAGGAGAGAACCTGGCATAAATAATATCAGAAATTCTGACAGATGTGTTAGAGATAACCCAAGAGAAGATGATGGATGGTATAGATGAGGAGTTTCAAGTTTACACAAGATATGCAGCAAGAAATGCTCTCCCGAGGGAAGTTCATGTAAGATTTACTAAGAAAATAATCAAGTCACAAATTCTACAGAAAACAAGAAATAGAAAACTGGAATATAAAGGCAAGGAGATTGTAGTTTTGAAATAAATTCCAAGAAGAGTGAGAGAGACGAGAAGAGAATATCAATTCCTGACTAAGATTCTACTTTAAAAAGGCATCAATTATAGATGGCTTATACCAGAAGGTTTAATATTTGCATAAGAAATGGGTTATGGGNTCTGTTACAATGTAATAAGGGTTAAGGGTTAACCAGAGAGGCAGTTTCTGTAAGCAGGGCAATAAAGATTAGGCTAGAAACAACACTAGAATGTTTCCTTCCTGCCTTCCTTACAGGATTAGCCCTGTAAAGTGGGAAAAAACAAAAGGAGATTTTTTCCAACAATTGGTTCTCTGAACTACTTAGAAAGTTACCAACCAGTTCTCCCGAATAGGTGCGAACTGGCTGAATCCCACCACTGCTATAGATGAAACTATACACCATAAATAGGGATCCATTGAGCATAGTGGTGGGTTTCCAATATTTTTACTACCTGTTCGCTCATGCACGCAACGCTTCTGTGCATGAACAGAAGCATCCGGGCAGGTGGGCGGAGCCTCCCACCGTCACCACTATCAGTTCGCCCAATCTGGGCTGAACCGGGAGCAACTCACCTCTGATTGAGCAGTGTTATGTAAGGGAGACTGTACACCTTACTCCGTAAGCATTATCTGGCTTCTCCACTGATTTTTGTTCGACAGAAGATTGCAAAAGCTGTTCACATGACCCCGGACCGCAACTACCATAAATATGAACCAATTGCCAATCATCCCAATTTTGATCATATGACCACAGGGATGCTGCAGTGGTCATAAGTGTGAAAAATGGCCATAAGTCACTTTTCAGTGTTGTTTTAACTTTGAAGAGTCACTAAGCAAAATGTTGTAAATCAAGGACTACCTGTGTATTAAAGACAGGGTTATGTTTATGACCGATAATGATAATATTTAGCAGGCTTCTTTCCCAGTGGAACTGGATTTGGCCTACAATATCATTTATTTTATACACCACCACCACCACCACTTTCTTTGATAGAATCACAGAGCTTCGAGTACGGCTGTTTGAAATACTGTGCCATGTTGACTTTTAAAATTATTCTTTCCATCATATCAATTCAAGGTCATACCATTTAATGATTCAATAGAGTAATTCAACCATTCGCAGTTAGACCTTACGACCACGATTGAGCCCCAAACTTCTGTTGTTAAGTGAGGCATTTATTAAGTGAGCTTTGCCCCATTTCACAGTTTTTCTTGCCACGGTTGTTAAGTGTATCACCGCAGTTAATAAGTTAGTAACCTGGTTGTTAAGTGCCCTCCACATTGACTTTGCTTGTGAAACAGTCACAAAAGGGGATCGCATGACCTTGGGACACAGCGACAGTCGTAAGTATGAACCAGTGGCCAAGAACCTGAGCTTTGATCACATAATCATGGGGATGCTGCAAAGGTCATAACGGTGAAAAATGCTCATAATTCACAGTTTTTGTAACTTTCAATGGTCCACTGTGTGAACTGTTACAAATTGAGAACAACCTGTATAATAGGCTATTTTTTTAAAAAAAATTGCTACTTTGCATTAATGAGTAATTAACTTATCCTGTGATTACTTTGTGTCTCTTTTAGACTTATTCGGGACACAGCATCCCTGGACATCACCAGTCCAACTTTCACGGATGTCCAAATGCGCTTCCAGCGAGATGATTCAAGCGTTTCTACATTGATATCATCTCCTTCAACTGGTACTCTTCGTATTCTTATCAGTCTGGACTCCAGTGTTCTCAACAGCAAGATTGCCTACCAACCTCAGGTAGGGAAGATTAAAATTAAGACTATGCTGCATAGTTCAAATGACCTTCAGTTTTATCCTGACCAAGTTGGACTGACTTCAGTGGGACCTACGTCTGGTTACTGTCATTAAAGCCCCCACTAATTTGCTCTTAGCTGCAGCTTTGATTTGTCCCTCCTTACACAAAGACATTTTTTTCAGCATGGCGAAGTCCAACGTTCAGGCACTAAAGTAGAAAGATGAGAGGGAATGTTAACTCTATTGTTTCCTTTAATTTATTCTGAAATGCTCCCTTAATCAAATGTCCCCTTAATCAACAGCCCTGTCAGAACCTCCACAATTAGTTAGAGGCCAGTAAAATGTTAATGTTGTTCCCCGTATGTATTCAATTGCTATCATTTAGTTGGCATATAGAGACTGATTAATTCAAAAGGCATACTGAGTAAGAATAAGTGCATAATATTGTGTTGATGTGCATGTACCGTATACGTGTATGTGTATAAATACACCTGTAAACATATGTATAAGCTAAACATTCAGATACCCGAATACTGACCCAATTAAGGAATACTTAAGTATTCTCAATACTGAATATCAGTATTGATAGTGATAAGAAGTGTAGCCATCAGTGCAACTTTTATTAGTTATGCAGTGCACTACTCAACCCTACTACAGGTCTATTTCATACAAATGCAAATAATACAAATACAAATAAAGATTCAGATACAGAAACAGAACAGAACAGAATAGAATAGAATATAGAATAACAGAGTTGGAAGGGACGTTGGAGATCTTCTAATCCAACACCCTACCTAGGCAGGAAACCCTATACCATTTCAGACAAATGGTTGTCCAATGTCTTCTTTAAAACTTCCAGTGTTGCAGCATTCACAATTTCTGAAGGCAACTTATTCCACTGATTAATTGTTCTAACTGTCAGGAAATTTCTCCTCGGTTCTAGGTTGGTTCTTTTCTTGATTAATTTCCATCCATTGTTTCTTGTCCTGCCCTCAGGTGCTTTGGAGAATAGCTTGACACCCTCTTCATA